TGGGCTTATTGTTATGCTAAATATCGAAACGATCCACCAACGTATGCGAGCATGGCAGGCGAAGAGATTGCTCACCACACACGGTCAGCTGAGAGAACCTGATTGGACAAACATTGATTAAGGCGGCCAATTACACAACAAACCTAAGGAACAATTTGGTATATCAAGCACATTGTCTTTCGTTATCGATAGGATGACTAATCGCTAAGAAAGTTTGTTTTATTCATTTCTATAAACTCACTCTTCCACCGCAATCTAACTGGGGTCTCACTGGGGCGCTCGGTGTGACCAAACAAAAAGAGGCAAGATTATAACAACGGGTATGAAAATATGCTTCTAGTTACATATGTGTAATTTTGAAGTAACAGTAAATTTATCTAGCTAGGGCTATTGATGTTGGTGTTGTTCTGCTCTCCGACTTTGTTGTTCAACTCCTGAAAGTTTCGTGATCAGGTCAAATAATATCGTCAGTAGAACCGTGAAGCTGTTAGCATCTTGGTAACTGCTTCATGCACGCTTCGCACAATGAACTGGCCGTGCACCAAGCACGCGACGCTTACGCTAGTTGACCTCCAATATTGACAACTGAACACTGGAAAACAGGCAAATCAATTAAAGTTCCGTTGCACAGTTGCTACTACATAGCCTGGTGACACAATAGTCGGAATACTGTTATTGTGGTGTCAGCACCATGAGTGTCCACAAGCCGGTGATATCTATCTATCTATCTATCTATCTATCTATCTATCTATCTATCTATCTATCTATCTATCTATCTATCTATCTATCTATCTATCTATCTGTCTATCTATCTTTCTAGTGATATATCCATCCACTATCTATCTATCTATCTATCTATCTATCTATCTATCTATCTATCTATCTATCTATCTACCGATCTATATACAAATATGAAGCTCGGAGAACGGAATACTGCCAACAAACACATATGTGTATCTCCACTCCCAAAGACACGTATTTACTAATGGCTTATATTGTGAGGACTTCTCAATAAATACCGGTATGTACTTTGAATCAGCGGAAAA